CATCGCTCTAAGTATGTAACTGACTCTGATCGGAAGTTATTGTTATTGAACGTTGATCTTTGATTGTTGGTTTTTTTCCTTCTGGTTTGTTATCATTCAGTTAAATTGTGCGAAAATAGAAAATAAGTTTTAGTTTTGTTAATATTCATATTGAATGATTATTAATAACGTGTGATTGGTGTTCGTTTAGTCTAAAATAACCACGTAGCGTTCGACTCACCAAGCCTCCCAGTGGTACAGCGGAATTACAATGCTAGAAACCGGGTTTGATACCCGTGGTGGGCAAAGCACAGACAACCCATTGTGTAGTTTTGTGCTTAATTACAAATAACAAAGAAACAAAACAAACTGGAAGTTCAAAATTTACCTGGTACTTTGGAATTACTATTGTAATACATATGTATTAATTTGTTCAAAAACATTGTTTACTACCTAGATAAGAGCACCGTTAAAAGTTTTACTTTAGACATAAGAACACCATGACAAGTTTCATTTTAGCTATAAGAGCACCATTATTTGTTTTACTTTAGAGATAAGAACACCATGACAAGTTTCATTTTAGCTATAAGAGCACCATTATTTGTTTTACTTTAGAGATAAGAGCATCATTTTAACTTGTTACTTTAGATATAATAGCATAATAACAAGATTTACTTTAGACATAAGAGCACCATTATAAGTTTTACTTTAGACATAATAGCACTATTATAAGTTGTACTTTAGAGATAAGAGCACCATTATAACGTTTTACTTTAGATATAATAGCATCATGACAAGATTTACTTTAGAGATAAGAGCACCATAATAAGTTTTACTTTAGAGATAAGAGCACCATCAGAAGTTTTACTTTAAATATAAAAGCATCATGACAAGATTTACTTTAGACATAAGAGCATCATTTTAACTTGTTACTTTAGATATAATAGCATAATAACAAGATTTACTTTAGAGATAAGAGCACCATGACAAGCTTTACTTTAGACATAAGAGCACCATTTTAACGTGTTACTTTAGATATAATAGCATAATAACAAGATTTACTTTGGAGATAAGAGCTCCATGACAAGCTTTACTTTAAACATAAGAACACCATTACAAGCTTCATTTTAATTTATGTTTAAAACAATTATTTCAAATTAAACTTCATAGTGAGTAGGCTGTAATAAAACCGTGACTCTACGTTTCTCTTCGCTATATAATCAGTTACATTGATGTACTCTCCTTTCAAAAATATCAGCACAATTCTCTCATATTTTCTGCTTGTTCAAAAAATATACAATGAACTAGCTATCCGTGTCAAATACTTTAGTAAAAAGTTTACGACGTACGATTTCCGTTACGAAATAAGAACAGCTTCTGTAGTATTAAACCAATGGAATGGCTGGATCGTTGGGATGCCTTTAGAAAGAATAATATTTACTGGATAGTTTCTTCGCTCCTAGCGGAAGTCCCTGGCAGATAAAGATGGACTTTCTCCACTGTTGAACTTTCCTTCTTTACAAGAACTGCATTCTAATAATCGCATGTGCAAGTTGTCATCTTGCGAGTGAACGACCTGTTGTGAAAATGAACAGTTGTAAAATGCGCAAGGAATTTTCTTTGGCACTTTTGAAAAGCGTCTTGGCGTTTTTTTTGTAGTTGTTTTTTCTTTTGTTCCTGTCGTAAGTCAACAGCGTAAAATATCTATCTTGAGCATCTCTTTATATTTTTTGGAATTTCTTTTTTGTAAGTTAAAAGAGAGAAAGTGAAGACGAACTTGCAAAAATAGCTCCTCTCAAAAGAGGTCAGTGAACAAACATTGAAGCTGTGACAGTAAGTAAAAGTGGGTAGGTGGTTTGCGAAGAGGTCTGCGAACGAAAAAGTTTGAGAACTACTCAAGTCAAGTCTATAATTGGATCAAAGTTCAAAGTAAAAACACAAATTAGGTATGGTTGGAACGATGGCCACACCCACTTTGAGGTTGAACCTTGCCAAAAACCACCAACTATTCTAATGCCCATTCCTGCCTTGTTTCCTTACTTTTTGGTGCTCCCATTCCCACTTCCTAATTTTTTATTTACATTTTTTACTCTTGTCTAATAGCTTTTTTTTGTAATACATCTCGAGAGTGACTGGGCTCTAGGCCTATCCTTCTCGTAGCTTTTCTTAGAGCTATCTCTTGACATTTCCAGGCTTTTGCTGTATCTTTGCTCTAGTTTTTTCCATCTAGCCAGAGTGGCAGCCTTTTCTTTGGCTGGATTAATGGCTAAGGCTTGTTTCGCATATTTAACATTACTGTTTCTAACCTTACCTCTATTCTTGCAGTAAAGACTTTTCAAGGTTATCAACATAGGATCTTCTCTCGTTTTGTTTCCTGGAAAGGCATATATATTTCAAAAATCGTACTGTTTCAGTTACGACCTTCGATGTCAATAAGTCACACTTAGTTTGAAAACAATGCAAAGGTAAATTATACAACTTATTGTTCTTTTTTTTTCAATCCAGAGCCCTCGAGAAAGCCGTGTCAGACTTCGGCAGTGGTAGCGTTCGTCCTCACGTCTCAAACACAGATTGCTATGATAGAACTGCTTTGTACAACACGGAACCTTCGCTTTTAAAGGTTATATTATAATTAGAACCTAGATCTAGAGAATCTACGTAGTCCACGTTTTTTTTGTTTGTTTTTCTATCTAGCTGATACAGCTGCAGGCTGATCCTCTAGCACTTGCACATAAGCAATCGTGCACCGGCAGGTGATATTAGGGTGGGTTGATCCTTGGCAACTCCAAGATCGTGTTCATAATCATAGAACATGGCCACTAGTGTATTTCTAGTTCGTTAGTAAAGTTGCAAAATGGTTATTGTTGTTATTTGTTATTACCAAGGCTATAAGTAAAACTAAGAAAAACTTTTAGCCAAAGTAGCGTAATTGAATAATGTGCATTTAGATTTGCATAAGGTGAAGGAAGGAAGGAGAGAGTTATGCCTTTCCAACAACGTTTGTCATTCAGATGGTCAGATTGACAAATTTGTGGTTTATGAAATTTTTGTTCTTACTTTACAGACTTTCACAAGTACTTTGGTGGCTTGTTACTCTGCAGTTGGTTTGTTTATTACTCAACACTGCGTGTAAGATGTTTATAAAGTTTGGCTTACATGCTGTTTTCAGTGTGTTTGAGATTGTAATTTGTATTGCACATCTGGCCCATTCATACTATAAGTACTACTGTACTTATGACACTAGATGTACTTCCGCAGTTCCCCGAAACCGTTTTAACTTTTCGCAAAATTATACAGTAGTGTGTTGTCTATAGTTAGTCTGTAGACACTAAAATGTCTATAGTTAGTCTGTAGACACTAAAATGACGTCATATAAGGGACGCTTAACGGAGCAATTTGTACTGTAAGTAAGACGTTTTCATACCATGAATCGCGAGAAGAATTATGCACTCTTTAGGCTACAACACAGGCACTTCAAAACCAAGAAATAAAAATATTTGTTACTCTTAATTTTGGTTTTATTTATTCTTGAAACAAAACAAATTACCCCTCCAGGCGATCTTCGGCCCCCGTTCGGGGAAATTATTACTTATCCTATCAGTATATAAAATTTTGAAACAGTTATTTTACAGGATTATAAGTCAAAAACTCTTCCTATTGGTGAACAACTTTATATAATTTTAGCATTTATTTAAATCTTTGCCTAGCTGCTATTAAGTACTTTTAAAATATGTATAAAATGCAAGTGGGTTTGGAATTAATTCGTATTTATAGGCATGGTGTTGAATTCTATAAACAATTCTGACTTGGTTTATCAAGTCTTGACAGTGGATATTTGATAAATAAGACTGCCTTGGTTTATTAGCGGAGCCTGAGTTGTCTTCAGGAGCGTTCACTAAAATACAAACCGAAACTGGCACTGCAAAGTGCCCCCCAGTGGCATGTCTGCAGACTTACAACGATAGAATCCGGGTTTTGATCTCCGTGGTGGGCAGATCACAGATAGCTCATTGTGTTCCTTTGTGCTTAACTTCAAATAAACAAACAAACTACTCTCTCTCTATATATATATATATAGCGCCCCCAGTAGCTCAGCGGTAAGTCAACATTGCAACTCAGAAAACGTGTACAGCGTGACTCGGAGTCTGCGATGAAATACAATTGAAAGTCAAATCCCACTATTATTCGGTCAGATAAGAGTAAGCGGTTGGTGCTGTTTATCAGTCGCCTTCCCTTTTGTAGCTCGTCGTAAAAATACTAAAGAAACGAACATTTCATATTATTTGGATACACAAGTAGGTTCATAAAAAAATTCAATAAAGCTCAACTCAAACTTAATCGATTACAATAACAGAAAATAAAGTTTAAAAACACAGATCTAAAAATCGCAGTTAGAAGAAACGTTTATTATATTGATTTGTACGCAAGAAAAGTCCGTGATTTACAAAGTAACCATGATTACGTTTTAGAATTAGTCTACAAGCTTCAAACAAACGATGTGTCTAATTCGACTACAAAAAAAAATATTTCGTGAAGAAAAAAAGTATGAAAATAAGCAAATCTGAATGCTAAGTTGAATTTTCTCAAAATTTATTTTCTAAATAAAATACGTGTAAATAACTGAAATTTTCTGTATCAGAAACAAGGACTATACACAAACTGTTTATTTTTAATACTTTTAGAATTAAAACAAATTGTTGTTTGCAGTCATTTTAAAAAATAGACACCAAATACTTTATCCAATTTTTGAATACAAGTTGCAAGTATGCAGTTTAAGATATGCCTCCTCTTGCTGTTCAATGTCATATAAATAATACATGTCTGCATACGTAAGATGTTGTTGGTAGACGTGCAGTTTATTTGTCTACAGTCTGAAAATATCATCTTTTGTTTTTCTTTTATGCACTCGTTGTACAACTTTTCAAGGTCATCCGGGAGCCATAACCTCCAGGATGTTTTCCAGTATTTCTGATTGGACAGCAGAACGTTTCCTCTGGTCTAGCTCGTCTCTGAGTTTTATAAATACTTTTTATAAGTACATATCTATATGTATGTAGTCTGGTCCTAGTATGGAAGATAAGTAAGCTCTATTCTGATATGGCTTCTTTGTTAACCAAACTATTTTATATGTTTGCTCTAATAGCGATAGACGCTTATATGGTAGAACTCATAGAACCTCCTGAAAATTTTGTGCAGAAACACTATGTTCAAGCCTTCTTTCCACCATCATCCGGTTCCTTATTTCCTTACCTAAAATTGGAGGGCTCTTTACCACCGTTGCGCCATTTCACACTCTGTACGTGGGCTAAAGCCTGGAACCTCAACACAAATGGTAACTTCATTTTCTCGTACAGTTATCCTGAAAAGGGAGGAGACAACGAATTTCTGGTAGGAGTTTACAAAAAACCCGAAGCAGCTCCTGAACTGTCTATTCATGTTAGAGGAAAACATTCTCGTGCTGAATGTTCAAGATTCACCATCGGACATTGGCACCATTTGTGCTACATCTGGACTAGAGTAGGTGGACGAGTTGAAATGTCTGTGGACGGGCAAAAGTGTTCCAACACCAAGGAGATAGCACCAGGTCTCGAGATCCGCACCGGTGGTACTGCAATCATTGGACAAGAACAAGATTCAGTTGGTGGAGGATTCATGGTGGAACAGGCTTGGAATGGAGAAATAACTGACCTTCAACTCTGGGATGAGCCTCTAAGTCCAGCTCAGATTCAGTTCATAAGGTGTAACAGATACCAAGCCGAAGGGTCGGTATTCAGCTGGATGAAAAGCCCCATGGTGGCACATGGTGTTGTTTTCTCCGAAACAAATGTATGTAAACTCTCCTACCCATTTTCGTGATGTGGAAATCGTAAAATTTGTCTAAGATTTTCTGAAAACGTATTATCGACATACATTCGTCAGAATTTAAAATAAGTTTGAATCTTTAATTTGATAAAAGATGGCTCTGTAAAAGCAATTTACAGTAAAAATATTTTATATTCATGTATAATCAAGAATTTGTTTAATTTTAGCTTTGTTCTTATTTGAAATGATCAATAAAGAGTGGTCCTTACCTTATGTACAAATTAGATGGTATTCATTACATCTTGTTGCTTTGGCTAAGCTACGAAAATTTGATGTTTTTTTTTGTAGATCTGCATTATTACAAGTAATACATTTCATATAAAGTCTTAACTAAAGTGTGTATAAACTTAATATAAGACGTACATTGGGCTACAGTTTCTAAACACGTTGTCTGGCTCGTTGTCTGTGTAATAGATATAATTTATTTTGAATATTACTTTATAACATAGTCAGTAGACGTAAAAAATCTCTCTTTCAGATATCTTAACATTTTCAAACAGTACAGGAGACACTTTAGATAAAAGCTTTGTAAAACTGGCAAGTTGTTGATGTTGTTTTTAGTTCAAAAACTACAAAATGAGCTATTTGCACTCTGTCCACAGCGGGGAATCGAACACCGGATTTTACCGCTGACCCACCGGGGGTACAAATGACAAATTTTTATAAAACTAAACACGATTCTGTATCATAAACTCCTTGCAAATATCTAATTCTACGCCCCATCTTAATACTGGGGATGGCCTAGTAATAAGCGTACCAGACCGTCAATCAGAGAGTTCATGGTTCGCATCTTGTTTCCGCAAAAAATCGCAATCCGCTTCTTGAGACTATTATGTGCATTATAAGTGTAATGGTAAGATCTGACTTGTAATACCTTTGCAAATAATAATAATAACCAATTGTGCATCCTAAAATAATGACATTAATATTCACGTTATTAACACTAATTCCATTATCATAAAAATATATTTGTTTATAATGAGTCTTTAATAGTTTAACTCTTTCTTAGAAACGTGCTTACAAAACTAACAAGAACATAAGAAAACAGTTCTTACAAATGTTTCTGTCAACAATGTGACGATTTCATCTTGCCTTTCGATTTTGTAGTCAGCATTGCCTTCTAGTTTCTTAAAATTGAAAAAAAAAATCATAACACGACAGCAAACTCTAATAACAATTTAACAATGTCCGCATCAATATCCAATAACATCTCGAAAAGGCCACTTCTAATAGTAACTTTAACAAACCTCAGGCTGTTCATAACAACTCAACAACAACAAAACCCATCTTCAGTATTAAAGCTGAACTGGAATTATTATTTATAGCCGGGTACTTCTCAAAGACTAAAATGATGAACTGAAATATAATGTGCATAAAGTCATTGATGATCTGATTCCAAAAACTAGATTCTAACCCTGAATTTTAGTATCGTCCCACTACAGATAAACAAATTACCACTATTGGGCATCCAACGAACAAAGTCACATTGGGCTATCTGTTGTGTCTACTGCGGGGAATCGAACCACAGTTTTTAGCTTTGTTAGTCTGTAAAGTTGCTGCTGTCCCATCGTGGGACCTAACGGTCGAATAAAACAGTGGCACAGCGGCATG